GCAGGAATAGGTCCGGGACCTGTTGTAAGCCAGGACTGAACCGAGCTGCTAGCCAGCCTGCTAAAAAAATTACTGGCAGGGAGAGGGAAATGCATGTATTCTATAGCATTACTCTATAAGCTTTTGCTTATTGATTAATAGACTATACTATTACATCCTAGTATACACCACAGTTTGGGAGCCTCTAAGATTTGAAGTAAATGTTTCAGTTTTCCAGATATGCAAGACCCTCCATAAATATATGAAGATTTGCTCATGCATTGACAATTGTAGCATTATGGACCTGCCACTCTTGTTGCCCGGTTATATTTTACCTGTTATTTTCTATAAAAGAGGTGTTGAACCAGAAGAAGAATGGGCAGTCATCATAGCCTTTTGGAAGATCCTAAAGATAAAACAGTGTTGGTTAGGCTATTTCTTATGTATTTGCCTTTTATAAAGTTAGTTTCTAATGATCTACCATAGAACTAAGATTAGTTTAAGACAGTCATGCAATCGTGAAGAGAAGCTGCTGCTCACCCACATCAGAACAGTTTTACATAATTGACTTTACATAGAAGTTTTGCAGTAGTGCATTCTTTCACTGGCCCAAGTGGGTGTCATCTTCATTATACTGAAGCAAGCAAGCACATGTGATAGCCAAAGCAAGTGACAGCAGGGCACGAATTGCCTGTGTGCCCTATGGCCTAGAGAGAAAACTTAGCTGTTACCATACACAGTCTGAAGTTTAAGGTGCTACTAGACTATGTTGTTTTTTAAGTCTGAAGTTTGTTACTAGATGTATCTCAGCACAAGGTCATAGAGAGAGAAGCAGTCACACAAGTACCGAACACATGCAAATGTTTGACTATAAATTCTCAAGATGGGCTCTTCAGAAGATGAAAGCATGTGATGAAATATATGTGAATCAAAGCTAGAGTTGTCCTATGCAGTGGGTTACACTGGTGCTAATGATGCAAAATAGATGCATAGATTGCATCCTTTTGGTACTTTGAGATTTAAGGGGTCTTTATTCTACTATACTTACAGTTAGCGATTCAAATCTGATTTTCACATCGCCACTTATAACCGGGCAGTCTCTCAAGCCAATCACTGCAAAGTCATTTTCAGCATCAAAAAATAACTGAAGAGAAAAAAAAAACAGAACTGTTTGAAGTAATTGTTTTCAGACAGCTGAAAATTAAATGTACACAGTTTAGCAGTCAAAAGTGACAATGCTGCACAACTAAATTTAGTGGCTCTAATATTCAATTACTCGTTAAGGTTCTACAGTGAAGAGAAGAGAAAAGTGATGGACTTCGTTGCCAAGGTACTCAGTTTTACTAACTGAAAGGCTAAAGCTTCAATTTCTTGAGAAATCCCTTTTGTCTTGTGAAAAACTTGAGCACCTAGTCATGGGCAAGGAGTGAGTGAAATATTCTGTTCTGAGTGTTGGTTGATTCCTCATCAGAGAGGGAGACAACTATGTCTTAGTCCAATGTTTTCCCACAAAAGCCAGCAGATGTAATCATCTAGTAAAATATACTCAAGTTCAGTATAGTGAAGACATTTTAGTCACATGCCTCCAGTAGAATTCTTACCCTACAGTTTTCTTGAGTTGCACAAACACAATGGAATACAACTTTCTTTTTCACAATGATCTGTACTTTAAGATCACTTCCATTGCCTCTTCCAACTCCTAGAAGGAATCAAAGTTGTATTATGCAAGAACTTTTTTTTAATCTTTAAATTATAGAGCTGCAACAATAATCAGTTAAACAATGTATATCAATTCCATGCATTGTACTAAAATGATAATAAAAGCTACTTTAACACTGAGGAATGTGAATTTGTGGAACTTTACTCCTTTTTTACTATCCTTCAGAATCAAAGTAAGTTTTCCTTAATAGGCTTAATCATGCTTTGAAAAATAGCTATGAATTTGAAGAGTCCCTGTTAAAAACAACCCTGGAGATCAATTCCTCTAGCCACAGAACAGACACTGAGCTGCAGCAATGCAAGGTCTAGTCTACACTAGGAGTTTAGGTTGAATTTAGCCACAAAAAAGTAAATTTTCTAAACAATGTGTCCATGCTACCAAGCCAGTAGCGTCAACTTTAAAGGCTGATGAAGTGGATTTTGGTCCTCCTGCTTTTATAAGGAGTAATGCAAAATCTGACCTTGTATGGTTGAATTTATGGTAATTTAGACCCAGTACTTAGAGAGTAGATTTTCTTGGCCTCTGGGAGGCATCCCACAGCACCCTGCTAGGATCACTCTGGCCAGAATTTGCATCTCTACTACTCTCCAGGTAGACAGGAAGTCCTGGGAAAGTTTGATTTTCATCTTCCAGGTGACCAATGTTGTGAACACACCTGAGAACAGACAGCCCACCAGAGCTGCACACATGGCCATGAGTTCGAGCTCTATGAGCTCCAGTTCCCAGGGGCGCAAAAGAGCTCCAGCATGGAGTGTGAAGGAGATCTTGAACCTCATCAAGGCATTGGGAGAGGAGGGGGAGGAAGGAGGAGAGAATACATTCTCTTGGCTCCAAAATCTGCAAAAAGATACACCCATCTCTTTGTAAAGTGCATGGTGGGGAAAGGATACACCATGGATACCCACCAATGCAGTCAAAAAAAATCAAAGAGCTGAGGCAGTCTTATCACAAGGCAAAGGAGGCAAACTGTCTGATGCATCACCTCAAACATGCCACTTCTATGACCAGCTGCATGTGATCCTAAGGGGGAGGGACCCAACCAGCTTCTCAAGCCAGACTGTGGAATTCTCCCAAGACACTCAGGGTAGCAACATGGAGGACCACAAGGTGATTGGGGGGGGGGTTAGGGTGCTGCTACTACCAGCTGAATTAACTCCTGTATTTGATTTTTCCCCACCCTTTGGGTCCCACCACAAACTCCTTTTCTGTCCCTGCTGTCCTCCCTAAATAAACACACACACACACACACAAAGCCACACAGACACATGGCCTCTGAACAACAGTCTCTTTATTGCTTGTACTGCAGGAGTTGGGTTGGGAATTACCACTGAATGAAGGGGCACCTTGTTGAGAGCTTGCAAGACTCTCAGAACTGGCCATTCATAAAACTATCTTAAAACCTCTGACTTGCACTGCCCTGTGCTCTCATCATCACCCTCGTGCCTGGCTGCTCAAAGTCTCTGGGGGGGGGGCTCAGGGTCCTGCTACCAGCAGCTGAATTAACTCCTGTATTTGATTTTTCCCCACCCTTTGGGTCCCACCACAAACTCCTTTTCTGTCCCTGCTGTCCTCCCTAAATAAACACACACACACACACACACAAAGCCACACAGACACATGGCCTCTGAACAACAGTCTCTTTATTGCTTGTACTGCAGGAGTTGGGTTGGGAATTACCACTGAATGAAGGGGCACCTTGTTGAGAGCTTGCAAGACTCTCAGAACTGGCCATTCATAAAACTATCTTAAAACCTCTGACTTGCACTGCCCTGTGCTCTCATCATCACCCTCGTGCCTGGCTGCTCAAAGTCTCTGGCAAGGCACTCTGCCTCAACCCTCCACCCTGCTAGATAAGTTTCCCCCTTGCTCCCAAAGATTATAGAGCACACAGGCTGCCCCCAACAAAGGGAATGTTGTGTTCACTGAGGTCCAACCTAGTCAGAAGACTCCTAAACCTTCCCTTTAATGCCCAAAAGGGCATTCAACCATCGTTCTGCACTTGCACAGTCTATAGTTGAACTGTTCCTTACTGTGATCCAGGCTGCCCGTGTATGGCTTCATGAGCCACAGGAGCAATGGGGGGCGGGGGTCACTAAAGATCACTATTGGCATTTCCATCTCTGATTCTGATCTTCCCATACCTGCAGCACTATGCAGCCCCACCAGTCTGCCCATGTCTCATGGCACCAGAACTGGTGTTCCACTGTTTCCAAAGGATTAAATATTGGCTGTGGTTCCAATTAGCTCAATGCAAGGGCTTTCCTGTACAGCGTGCCTATGGCACCCTGAGACTGAAATACCTCCTCATCCTTTTTCTAGTGGCTCTTGAAATACTGCACCATTAGGTGCACCAAGGTATACGTCACCATCACAATGCTTTGATGCACAATAGGATCCATGAGAGGGGCCATGCTTGTGGTGCTATGACATCTGCACAGGTAACCAGGGTAAAAAAGGGCACAAAAAGCCTACTTCCCATTGATCACAAGCAAGAGGAGAGGGAATAGACATGTGCATTATGGGACGCTGACAATATGAACCCAGAACCACCTGCTGCACAGTTTTGGTCCCAGAATGCACCAGGAGCATAACTCAGAATGCAAAGTGGCACAGGCACTGTGGGATTTGAGATATGCTGGAAGTGAGACTGTCAGGCACTGATCCCAGGGAGGGCACTTCTGGCAAGTTCACAATTTTTCCTCTTGCTAGGAGCAGGTTAGAGCAATTGGGTGTGATGTGTGGCATACTCTGCCTAAACAGCATGGTGGGAAGGGGATAGGAACTGATCTCTTTCAAGGTTTCTGGGGAGGCTTGCCTTATTTCATCCTACGGTAGAGGACACCTTCCCATGCCAAGCCAGCAGTTAGAGATCTGCGGTCATTGCAGCATGCTGCAATGCTTTGCAAGGTCCAGGTTTCTGGCCAGATTTCAATCAGAATCAGCTCTGTCACTGTGGCTATATCTGCACTGGTGGCTTCTTACGCAAGAAAATCTTGCGCAAGAAAACATCCACACTGCCATGTGGGAGATGAGCTTTTGCGCAAGAGCATCCGTGGCAGTGTAGACGCTCTTGCGCAAGAAAGCTATGATGGCCATTTTAGCCATAGGGCTTTCTTGTGCAATAAATCCCTGCTGAGCATCCACACTGCCCTCTTGCGCAAGAGGGCTTACACCTGTTTTAAAAAGACAAAAAAGTAAATTTTCTAAACAATGTGTCCATGCTACCAAGCCAGTAGCGTCAACTTTAAAGGCTGATGAAGTGGATTTTGGTCCTCCTGCTTTTATAAGGAGTAATGCAAAATCTGACCTTGTATGGTTGAATTTATGGTAATTTAGACCCAGTACTTAGAGAGTAGATATTTCCTTGCACAAGAGCAGGCAGGCAGGGTGGTTGCTCTGCGGATTCTTGCACAAGTATGGCCATACTTGTGCAAGAAGCTGCGAGTGCAGACATAGCCTGTGTGATTTGGAGAAGACTGAGATCTTGGAAGGCAGCCTGGATGAAGGAGAAAGGGAAGTTATTAGGTATTGCTTCTGCTGCTATCATGGCTTCAGCCTCTAGCACCCTCTGCCTCTCACCTGCAGGCTTCTGTGGGATGGGAAAGTAGCACTCTCCTGGGAAGTGGGGTGTGGCAGACCAAGGAGGAAAGCCCTGTGAGCTGCCATCCTGTTCTCAACATCCCCTCTACTGCCTGGCAGGCCCCTTATCATGCCCATCTACAAACAGCATGAGTCCAGATGCTCCCCTGAGAATTCTGTACCTGCTGTACAGTGGCCACTTTGATGCATATCTTTGGCCTTGCACAGAACATATTTCCATTGTCAGAGAGACCTTTGCTGTATGTTAACAGATTAGGTTTTAGGCTCCACAGTATCTCCTGTAATGCGTGCCCTTGTAACTTTGTTACAATGGGAACAGCTTGGAGCTTGCTTCATACTCCTTTGGCTCCAGCAGCGGTGTGGCTTGCACAAAGCCACAAGCAAAAACTGACAAAAGACATGTTTAAGAAACAAATGGAATGGAAGCATATAGTACTGGAGGAGATGCGATCAGAACAGGACAGGATAGGATAGCATGCAGGGAACTGCAAAGAAGCACCAGGAGAATATCTGTGTCCTTGACTGCTATGATGGAGCACCTGGCAGCATTCCCAGAAAGTAACTCTCCCCCCCCCCCGC